AATTTCAAGATTTATCTCAAGAATTTCAGCAATTATCCAACATTTTTGAAGCTTCAATAGTAACTTCTTTCATTTGTCCTTCATTATTTTCTGATTTTATTTTTTGTTTTGTAAGCCACTTGATTTTCTCTCAATCTTGATATATTGTTGTTGCATGTTAGCTTTGTCCATAGATAATCACTTGTTTTTCCAAATCTTAGAATCGCTTATAATCCAAACTTGGAATTTGCATGTACTCACAATGAATTGTGAGTAGTCCTCTTGGCTAGGGGTTGGGTGAAACTCAACCTATTGGTGATTATGTGAGTTTGGGAGTGATTTTGATGATGGATTGCGACTAAACTTGATTATATGGGATTGCTTGTTAGTTCTTCATGATAGGAGTAATTAACCTAGATTATTGAACTTGATGGCATGAAATGTTTGGTTCGACATGGAAATGTGAGTTGAATGTTTCATTACCTATTGCAATATGATTATGTATCTTTTGTTGCTAAGTTAATGAGGGATCTAAGCTTAGTAATCTGAGTTGTTTTCATATCGTTTGATGTTGATCTTACATGTGGTCTTTGCTATTCCATTACCCTCATTCCTCCCTATTTGCCTAATTGCTATTGGTTGAGTGAATCCCATTCCCCTAGTGTTTTAATCCCTTGAATTCAACCTTTAGTTGTAGTTTGTTAGTTAATCACCACTTATACCTTGATTTCGATTTAGCTTAAGCATTAAGATTATTTAGCATTTGATTCCCGTTCTCCGTGGACCGAACCTTTGCTTGCCATTGTACTTGTTTGAGTGAGGTGTTTGTTATAAATGTGTTTGAATGAGCCTAAATTGTGCGACCGATTTAGCGCTCGTCAGCCCCTCACAGGGGTGACGTGGCTTGCCACGTGGCGCTTGTGACAGGTGTCACACTTTGATTGGCCAATGGTTTTTACTGTTTTTTATTTTTTTTATTTTTTTTACTGTCTCTTGAAATTCACCCCTTATAAATAGGGGATGTCCAAATCATTTGTTTGGATGTTCTAGAATTTTCAGACTTTGGACTTTAGCCTTTGACATTTTCTTGGAGAACGATTGCCGCTTGCTACCTGACCGCCTGCTCTTACAGCCGCCAGATTTTTTCAAGCACCTTCAATATTTTTAAACCAAAGGTAACCGCCTGTATTCTCTTATACTTTCTCTTTGTTTGTTTTCTTTTTTTAAAATGGTATCCCAAAAGCACATGCCTTGGCCTAGGTTAGTAATCAGCCGGTCACCGGGGACGGTTAAATCTAAAACTAGGAGTGCCAACTACCCTTTTCTGGAACACCCTTTGCGATTTTCCCTTAGTCCGACTGTCTATGTGTCTGTGCAGGACACCATGGCCAGAACTAAAAGAACTACAAGGGTGACAAACTCAGACGGCTCCTCCTTCTATGCGCCTGTCAGTGAGCTTTCTGACGTGCCGCCTGGCACCCCAAGTACCCCTAGTGATTTCATCTTAGAAGAATAAGGGGAAGAAGTTCAAAATGACATGCCAGGCTCTATTGATCAAGCCCGTCAGGTGGAGGATAGGTCCGACTCCTCTGACAGCAAACCTAAAACAAGCACCTCAGGCAGGCTGTTTGATGCCTCCGAGGAGTTGCCACTACAAGAAAAAGGCCAGATTCCGACGGACACAAAATTCCATCGGAAATCCTATATATTCCGGCGGATTTATATTCCGTCGGAAATTTCCGACGGATTTCCTACGGAATAAAAATCCGTCGGAATTTATGGGCTTTCCGACGGAATATTCTGTCGGAAATTTTATATTATGACGGAAATAAAATCCGTCGGAAATTTCCGACGGAATATTCCGTCGAAAAATTAAATTTCCGACATAATTAAAATCCGTCGGAAATTTCAGACAGAATATTCCGTCGGAAAATAATTAAATAATAATAAAAAAATAAACCCTTAAAAACCTAAAAAAAAACCTTAATAAACCCTATTCTCTCTCCTCTCCTCTCCCCGCCTCTCTTCTCTTTCTATCTCCGATCCTCTTCCCCTCTTTCTCCTTCCTTTTCGGCCTTCTCCTTTCTCTCCTTCCTCGGCGCATCACTCCTCTTTGTCTTTCCTCTCCTTCTCCTTCCTCTCCTCTTCCCTCTTTCTCTTTCCTCTTCCCCTCTGTTTTTCTTTTTCGTTTCGTTTTCTTTGGTTTTCAACTCAAGGTAATTTCAAGATTTTCAATGAAAATCAAGGTTTTCATGTCAAATTCGACCATGAAAACTCTAGATCTAGAGTTTTTATGGTCGAATTTGACCTTATAAACCCAATTTCGACGTTTTTTTTGTCAAATTAAGGTATGTGTCTCTTTTTTTCTTCTTAATTTTGATTTTAATTAACTTGTTGATTTTTCAGATTTTTTTGAAATAAATGGTGTTGGTGAATTATGGATTTTTTTTATGTTTTTTTTGGGTGGTGAGGTGGTTGTTTTGGGTGGTGAGGTGGGTTTCGGTGGTGGTGAGGTTGGTTTCGGTGGTGAGGTGGGTTACGGTGAGGTGGGTTTCGGTAAGGTGGGTTTCGGTGAGGTGGGTGGGTCTAGTGAGGTGAGGAGGTGGGGAGGTGGGTTAAGGTGGTAGGTGGGGAGGTGGGTTTCGGTAGGTGGGTGAGTGGGTCTGGTGAGGTGGTAGGTGGGCTGGGCGATGGGGGCAGGTGGTTGGGTTGGTTATGGGTTAAGGTGGTAGGTGGGGAGGTGGGTTTCGGTGAGGTGGGTGGGTGGGTCTGGTGAGGTGGTTAAGGTGGGGAGGTGGGTTAAGGTGGTAGGGGGGTTGGTGGTGTGGGCTGGTGGTGGGGGTGGTGGAGGCGTTTTTTTTTTTGTTTTTTTATTGACTTTTCCGACGGAAATTTCCGTCGGAATATACCTCTTCCGACGGAAATTTCCATCGGAATATACCTCTTCCGACGGAATTTTCCGTCGGAATCTTATCCAACTCCGACGGAATTTTCCGTCAGAAAATTGCGACGGAATTTCGGTTAAAGTCAAAACTAGCTCTGACAGAATGTATTCTGTCGGAAAAGTGTCTTCCGACGGAATTTCTCTCGGAAAACGTTGAATTTCCTACAAAGGGTATTGCGACAGACTGTTTCTGACGGAATTCCGTCGGAAGGCCGTTTTCCGATGTTTCCGACGGAAAAATTCCGTCGGAATCCAGCTGTTTTCTTATAGTGTGCGCTCTCGGCTGGGAACAGCGAGAGAGTCCCATGCTGCGGAGAAGGGGTGGACTGGGCTGAGCTGGCTGCTGGACGGAGAGATATGTATGCCGCTTATTATTGTCATGTTCCCGCAGGCAGACGGAAGACCATGGCTGAAAAGATTTTAGGGAGTTTTAGGGCCGACCATATTATGGGTCATGGCTATATCCTTTGCGTGCCGGATGCCGTGGACACCGTAGTCTGGCCAAAAGGGTCCAGCTACGGGGACGAATGCTTTGGGTGCTATGAGGCGGCCATTCAGGCTGGTCTTCGATTTCCCTTACATCCGGCCATAGAGCAGATTTTGGACGGATACTAGCTGGGTGTAGGGGTGGGACTTCGGTCTGGCGGTTCGGTTTGACCTCGGTTTGAGTCGGTTTCGGTTTGGAGCGGTTCAGATTGAAATGGTTTAGTTTAGCTGGCGGGTCGGTTTTGTTCGGTTTGGGTTAGTCACAGCTCGGTTTGGTTTCGGTTTATTTCTTTACAGTTTAAATTCGGTTTGGGTCATAAGGGGTTCGGTTTATAAACTATTCGGATCATGCCAGTTCGGTTTGATACGGGTCAGTTTAGGGGGCGGGTTTAACCGGGTCAATGTCAGTTCGGTTTACAAACAGGTTGGATCAAGCCGTTTTGGTTTGAAATGGGTCGGTTTAGGGGCAGGTTTACCCAGGTCAATGTCGGTTCGGTTTATAAACGGTGTGAATCATGCCGGTTCAGTTGGAAATGGGCCGGTTTAGGGGAGGGTTTACCTAGTTCAATTGGTTCGGTTTATGAACGATTTGGATAATGCCGGTTCAGTTTATAAGCGGTTTGGGTCATGAATTCATGATTGTTTTATAGATCGTGTCATGACCATGATTTAATGAGTTGATACTTAGAATACGATAAATCGATAATTAAGAAAGTACAAGTATTCAATTAGATCGATCAACAAGTGTTTTAAACTTTTAAGTTTTAATAATCAGATATGTTTATCGATTATACGTACATACCAATGATTCAATGAGGCAATGATAGTATGATACTAATCGTACATTCGTACCATATGATATACATAATACATATACATTAACAATATCGTATTGAATCAATTTCAATTTCCAAACATTTGCATTTCTTATAATTTATAAGTTACACGAGATTAAAAGGATTAGTTATTTAGTTTGTTACTTTATTTAGATTACTAACTCAAACAACTTGATAAGTTAAATGGACGAAATCACGAAATCACTAAAGTGGTGATGAAATCATTATGCAATACTAATGTACAAATAGTCAAATATACAACAGTTAGATTGAATGCCCATGAAAAACAACAGTTAGATTTCATTACTTTATTAGTTATTAGTTATTAGTTATTAGTCTTATTACTTATTAAGCTATTAGTTTATTACATATAAAGTGACAGACTCACAGATATATTCATATATATAGTTAATTAGTTATATACATATAGAGATGTCAGATATTGATGTACATTAACTATGTCGTATTGAATCAATTTCAATTTTGAAACATTTGCGTTTCTTACAATTTATAAGTAGTAATAATAATAATAATAATAATAATAATAATAATAATAATAATAGTAATAATAATAATAATTATAGTAGTAATAGTAGTAATAGTAATAATAATATTAACAAAAAATTATACTAACAATAATAATAATAACAATAATAATAACAACAACAACAACAACAACAACAATAATAATAATAATAATAACAATAATAATAATAACTAATAATAACTAATAATAATAATAATAATAATAATAAATAATTAATAATAATATGTTTTTAAAAAAAAAAGAAACGGTCAAAAAGACCTCGAAAAGCACAAAAAAAATCAAGACCGTTGGATCTAGATGAACATTCTGGATCCTTTATTACTACCAAAAAAAAAAAAAAAAAAAAACAAAAACAAAATGAATGGTGAGATGCTGAGATTGAACATGGACGGTTAGATCTAGGGGAAGAAGTAAAACCTAAAGGCTAAACCTAGAAAAAACAATACCACGCCTCATTTCATCAGAATCTCAAACGGCTCTCTCTCCTAACTTCCTAAGCTATCTCCCTCTTCATCTGAATCTCTCCAGCTCCCTCTTCATCTAAATCTCTCCTATTTCTCATGCCTCTGAATCTCCCTCTTCATCATCCCTCTGCCTCTGAATCTCCTGAACGGCGAATGCCGATCCTACCATTTTTTTTATTTAATTTTGTAAGGTTTGTATTTTCATTTATTCTTAAAATTTCAGCTTTTTTTTTGGAAGTTCTAATTATTTTGTTCATTTATTCCGAATGGTTCGTTTGCAATGTATAATTGATTAATTTCTGCTTTTTTAGGAAGTTCTAATTTTTTTTTCTTTTTTTTTGTAGATCTGTCATATTCTACTCACGGACGATATAAGGTATTTGTATTTTTGATTCTTATTCTAAGTTTCGATTTATTTTTGGAAACTTCTAAGTTCCGATTTTTTTTTTCTAAGTTCTGTTTTTTCATTTATTATTAATTTTTGCTTTATTTTTTTAAAAGTTCTAATTCTTTTGTTCATTTATTGTTTTGCAATGTATAATTTGTGCTTTTTTTTAAGTTTTAATTTTTTTTCTTTTTTTTGTAGATCTGTCATATTCTACTCACGGAGGATATAAGGTATGAATTTTGTTTGTATGAATTTGATCTTAGTCGCTAGATCTTGATTTTCAGAGGGAGGGGAATTGAATTATGGTTGTGTTGGTTGATTTGACTTTTTTTTAGGTGGTTTTTCAAGGAATTTTGTTTTTGTTTTTTTAGTTCGAAATTCGACAATGTACAAAGAAACGAATTGAACATGTGAGAGATTCATAAATTAGTACCAATATATACGAGTTTATGTTGAATGCCTTCAATTATTATTATTATTTTATTATTTTTTCTTCTGAATTCTTTCTCTTTCTTATTACTGGAAGTATTACTATTGTCCTGTATGGGTAAAAAAAAATGTTGTGTGTTTCAAAATTTACGGCCTTGTTTGACAATTACCGTCGTAAATTGCCTAATGTAATTGACATTTTCTTTGTCTTCCATATAATTGTTGGGATTATTAGTTCATTTAATCGCTGATTGTGCTAGTAGTTGAGACCTGCAAGTAATTTCGTATCATGACTTTAGGTTGTCATGTTTTCCACCAAGATGATTATTTTTATCGAACATAATTAATTCTCTAAAATAATACATTATAATCGAATTTGTCAGTCATTTATTTTGAGTCTTGCCGGTAGCATTTTTTCAAGATTTAAGTTAAAATCGTTGCCCTTGTCATTTATGTTGAGACTTCAATGTATTTTGGTACTTGCTGGCAGCATTTTTCAAGTTTTAAGTTAAAACAACCATTGCTCAGTGATGATATGATAAACGTAAATCTGAGAGCAATTTTAAAAAACAAAAATTAGTTCTGAAGTTGGTTGAACTTGTTTTGTGAGCTGCTAATCTGCTTTTTCCTTTTGGTTGTTGTCCCTGCTGAGTTGCTTCTGCCTATATTGTTGCCTGCTTCTACTAAGCTGTTGATCTGTTGCTGCCTGAGTTGGTTCTTGCCTCCTGCCAGCTTGAGGTTGCTGTCGTTTCTTCTGCTCTTGGGTGCTGTGTTGCTGCTTCAGTATTGTTGCTGCCTTTTGTGTTATGAACTTATGATAAGTTTTGTTGCTGCTGTTTCTTATGCTTTCTGTTTTAATTTATCTTGAATCATCGTTGCCCTTGTCATTTATGTTGAAACTTCAATGTATATGTACTTGCTGGCAGCATTTTTCAAGTTTTAAGTTAAAACAGCCATTGCTCAGTGATGATACGATAAACGTAAATCTGAGAGCAATTTTTAAAAACAAAAATTAGTTCTGAAGTTGGCGGTTTTGTGAGCTACTTATCTTCTTTTGGTTGTTGTTCCTGCTGAGTCCCTTCTGCTTATATAGTTGCTTGCTTCTGATGAGTTGCTGATCTGTTGTTGCCTGAGTTGGTTCCTGCTTGTTGCTGCTATTTCTTCTGCTCTTGGGTGCTGTGCTGCTGCTTCAAGATTGTTGCTGCCTTTTGTTTTTAGGAATGTTTTTTTAGGTTAAATTTTGTTATTAGGATAATTTATTAATTTATGATCATATGTAAAATGTAAATCTTTAACTAATTTATTTTTAATGTAAAATGTAGATGAAATGTATTTTTTGGAATAATTAAAGTTATTTATTTTAAATTTATATTTATTGTTACCTTTGTAAATTCAAAGTATGTATATAATAATACTAGTATGTTACATTTGATATTAATTAAAATAAATAAGTAATCTAAAACGACATTATTCACATTAATAATGTCGTTGGACTAGGTGATATAAACCGTTGTGTAAACCTAAGCCGTTTGATTAGATCTACATTTATTAACGTTAATTGTATTTATTTTAAATTTAAATTTATTGTTACCTTTGTTAAATTAAAGTATATATATAATAATACTAGTATGTTACATTTGATATTAATTAAAATAAATTAGAACTCTAAAACAACATTAATAATGCCATTGGACTAGGTGATATAAACCGTTGTATAAACCTAAGCCGTTTGATTAGATTTACATTTATTAACATTAATTGTATTTAGGTTGTAAATAATTCAATTTAAACTTTAAAGTTTAAACAGTTTGTAAACAGTTCGATTTTAACGGTTTAACGGGTTATGGCAGTTCGGTTTAGACGGTTAGCGGATTATAACAGTTCGGTTTAAACAGTTTTTCCTGCGGTTTAAACAATTTTGGTTCATAAACGGGTCGGTTTAAACGGTTAGTGGGTTACAAATGGTTCGGTTTAAACGGTTTTTTCTATAGTTTAAACGGTTTTGGTTTATAAACGGTGCAGGTCATTAACGGGTTTATAAACCATTCGGTTCGGTTCCGTTTCGGTTCGGTTTTGAGCAACTTGGTTTGTTATCGGTTTACGGTCCATAACGGGTTGACATTAAGCGGTTCGATTCGGTTTCGGTTTGATATTGTACGGTTCAGTTCGGTTTTCGGTTTAAATTTATCGGTTTATAAACAGATCGGTCCGTGATGGTTCGGTTCGGTAACGGGCGGTTTCACGGTTCGGTTTGAAAAGTCCCACCCCTAGCTGGGTGTCTTGCAACTTGCCCCCAATTCTTGGTTCAACATTCTGGGGTATGTTGTCGGCTGTGAGATGATGAATGTGGATCTAAGCTTTAAGGCTTTCGCCCATATGCACTATCTCAGCAAAAACCCAGAAACAAGCGGTGCCGGGTGGTATTCTTTGTCTAGCCATAAGGGCTATATGATGACAATAGGGAAGGAGAACAAGTGGAAAAACTGGAGAAACAAATTCTATATAGTCTCCTATCCTGACAAAGTGAGAAACAAGAAGTACAACAGGTGGAACCGCAATCCACCTCACCAGACAGGCGCCACTAAAAAGCTGCATGTTCCAAGAAAAGCAAAAGAGGAGATCCTTGACCAGGGTCTCTTCAAAGTGGACATTCAGGCGAATGCCGTAACAGGGGCGAGAGAATTCATCCCCCAAGGTTACATCCTCGTCATGACTGGCTTTTTGACGGGGACTATTTTTCCGCCTGCGGTCTTAGTATTGAAAGGCCGAGAGGTAGTTGGCCGAATGTGTTTATAGTTTTTGTTAGACTTAACTGTTTTTTGTACATCTTTTTTGCAGACAAAGCAATGGAAAGACTTCTGGCCACCAAGAAGCCTGCCGCCTACTACCTCTTCCGTTTGGGCAAGCGGTCTGTGGAAGAGTCGCCTGCCAATCAAGCGTCCAAGGTGAATTTCTTTTGAATTTGAACAAGTCTTATTTAGTTTTTCTGTCGCCTACTTCTTACTTATTGTGGTTTTTGTTGCAGGGCAACTTAGTAAAGCCTTCCTCCTCCTCACAGTCAGATCCTAAAATTTGGAAACAGGCGGCTTGTGACGTGACGACTCCTGGGAGAGCTAGGAAACATGTTGGTCAGGAAGGACCCTTCCTCCAAGTGGGAAAAAGTCCACAGTCGTCCCAGAGAGCAGTCGGCCTCCGAAGGAGGGAGAGGCGGCAGAAGGTATCAGCTATTTAAACCCCTTGCCCTACCCTTGTAGGGTTAAGTTTAATTAGCAGTCGGCCAGCACCTCTGAAAGCAGTCAGTCTATTGGCCGCATTTATACCAAGTACTTACAGGGTATTGATTGTGCAGATTCCCCTCAAAGGCCAGTTACAGCTGGCCAAGTCCATGTTAAAAGCCATCTCCCTTGAGGACAAGGAGGCGGTTAGAGGAGTCGGCACCCTTAACCTGGACGCCATCCTCGCTCTTCTGGCTGAGGTATACTTGTAAAGATTTTCTATTTCTTGTTTATTTAACTTGTGGGCTGCCTGTTACAAACGTCTTTTTTTTGGCCGAATGCGGTCTATGCTACAAGTGCACGGTCTCCGCAAGCCCATAAACGAGAAGACCAAAGAGGTAAATTCTGCGAAAGATCAGGCCGCCTCTGTTTCTGACACAGCTATGTTCAAGATTGCTCAAAATGAACTTCTGACTACTGACATACTGTATTATCAAGTGGCTACCAACTTGAAGGTCAAAACGGATCTAAAGGCGGCCAAGAAGAGGATCTCTGAGCTGGAGAAGCAGGTCAAGGATCTGAAGGAGCAGGTCAAGGATCTGAAGGCTAAGCTTGAGCCCTTCAAAGAGACGGACCAGGAAGCAGCCGGCTTGCGAACCCGGGTGGACAAGCTGAAAGCCTGCCTGCAAAACCATGAAGTCCTACTCGCCAAGAAGTATACTTCAACGGCTGAGGTGAAAAAGGCGGCCGTGGTCAAGGACATGATGGACGACTGCAATGTCGTCATGAAGATGACTTGGGGGGCTCTCTTCCCGGAGACCAGCTGTGAGGCCTAGCATAATCAGTTCACCGCCTCCTCTCAAGAGTATAATGAGAAAGTCTTGAACCAAGCCCAAGAGGCTGAGGGAGAGGAAGAGGAGGAGTCGTCTAATTCTACCTCGGGGGAGTCGGACCAGGGGGAGGAGGAGGAGGCGGATGCCAAAAAAGAGCAGCAGCCGACTAGGGTATAAAAGGATGCGGCTGCTGATACTGAACAACCCCCTCCTGCTACTTAAGCCTTTCTTGTTTTTATTCCAACTTTCTTCGGCCTGCGTTCCGTATGCTCTATTTTTATCTTTACCGACCGAGGGGTCAAGTTTATTAACAATTTTAACTCGTTTTGTCGGTCATCTGGCCGAATGTTTATATGAATCGTCCAGCAAATTTTGGCCGGCTTCTTCAATTTGCACTTGCGCAAAATTTTTGCATTTCATAAATTTTGCTAAGTATAAGTAACCCGCTTTTTTCATGAATGCTTATTTCATTATATACCAATTGTTCTTGCCCCTGGGCGACTATTCGTCTGGTTTTCAAAGGTGAATTGATTAGCTTGGGAATGTTTGATACTTTATGGAGTATGACTAATTTCCAAGTCAATTAATCACAATGGTGATTGCCCCAAACTAGGCGGTCAGTCGGCCAATGCACAGGCGAACCTACATTATTATCCGGCTCTCGGCCTCAATATAGTTCTTTAGACGAACCACGCTTAGCTACTAAGTTTTTTACTTAGTTTATTTTATTGATTTGTAAATTGTCCGTTTATTTAGTACTTATACAGAAACAGGATTCAAACGGGATGTTTAACCAAAGTAGCAACCGCTTGTTGGGTTACAGGAGGTAGCTTTAATCGTTT